CGGGTTGTCATTTGGTTGGTTGTGGCTCAGGGAGGAAGCAGCGAATATTGCCATCATGGCTACGAGACGGGACGATGTATTTATGGATGTCGTGCATTAATTCGGTTATAAAGTGATATGACGCAAAAGTCAGGAAGCAACTTACCTACATACGCACACACGGATGATGCTTCCAGCTAGACGTTTCCAATTTGGATCTGATTTGATGCGAGGGAGGTTGAAATGCTTCCGGCACCAATATATGTTGGCCCGAATCTGATTTCGCTAATGATACTTGGTTTGGTAAATTAGTTTTAATTAGCACTAAATTGTTGCAGCCTATCAACAGGCGGCGTCTGCGAGCTTCTGTTGTGGGTGGATGATAGCAATCAGAAGAGATGTGCCTTTGACGGTGAAATTGAATGCAGCCATGATGGTTCTGCAGTCTGTGTTGTGTTTGTTTCTGTCGTAAATTATTTACAGGAATTGGAAACTGTGGCCCCTGTGGCAGTGAAACGAGAAGGTATTCGTGAAAGGAGCCTTTCCATGCTTATTTTTCATGATTCTTTACTTAAAATTTGAGTCAATGTTTATTCATGTTAGTAGGCGCTGCGTGTGTAATTATCCTGTTCCTATTGAGGTAGGTATGACATTATTTTTAATTAACACATGTTGCTACTTATTTTATGATGGATAAATTATATGATTCTCGGATTTTGTTTCCTCATCAAATAGCTCGAAGCGTCATCAGACTCAATGTTTACACTGTCGAAATGGAAGTCTATTTACATCTAGCTTTAGCAACATTGTTAGTCAGATGACGAATCACACAATTGAGTTTACCGAGCAATTGTCGGGGAAATTTCGATGTGAAAGCTCTGCTTCATTTACTTTGCAAACAGTGCGTGGTTTATAATCCTGGTGGAAAACATTTGCTGTTAGGCTGACGTGGATGGATCGAACATCGAAATGTTCATCCGTATAATGGAAGTTTCTGTTGATAGAGATTGAAACAGAAGAAAATCTATTCTCCACTGTCTGGTCTTCGGCTTATAGATATTTTTAATTGTAATCATCGGAAATGTTAATACTTTCCCTATGTACACGGCGAATGAGAACGACCCAATGAGAACGACCCAAATTAAAGTTTAGTTCACTCATAATCGCCAAAAGTGCAGGAACTCAGCAATGAGCAAAATTTGTCTCATGTTTTCCCAGGTTTTTCCAGGATTTTCCAGGATTTTCCAGGGAAAAAATCCCGAATTTGAGAAAAGTAAAGATTGGATTCACTCAGTCTATTGGTACTACTCCGAGACTGAATAAAATTTTCGTCAATTTCCTCATTTTCCGGCAGATTTTTTAGGTTTTCCACAGGAAACCATGAGACAAATTTACTCATCGCTGAGTTCCTGCACTTTTGGCGATTATGAGTGAACTAAACTCAAATTTGGGTCGTTCTCATTCGCCGTGTAGTTGAAACGTTTTTCCCAGTTTCGCCGGTTCTCATATATTCAGCCATTCCATAGCTCACGATATAGTGGTTCTCAGAATTTCGTAAAAATTGTAATTTTGTGCCTTATCGCAAAATATGAAACACATTTTTTTTTTATTTTGTCATTAGGGTGACCATTACCATGCTAGGGTGATCCAAAAATCGATTTTTTTTTCAAAATGACTTTTAAAAAAAATATAACTTTTGAACCACTGAGCCGATTTCAAAGTTATTTAAAGTTCTTTTTATGAAAAACATAATATAATATAATATAATGATATTTGCTATTTAAAAATATTGATTGTAGGGTTAATTACCCCATTTCCGGCCTATTAAGCACAACCCGCACTTAGTCTTCCTTAATTTAGCGCAGTTTAGCACCAAACGGAATGTTATTATTACTGATGGCTTCCAAATTTATTTACCTTTCCGTATGTACCGTAAGATTTGATAAAGAGAAACCAATCGTTGAGATATTATCAAAAGTCTAACACTGCTTCTTGACGCCAAACTCGGCCTACGGATTCTAAACTCGGCCTAACGCATTGAAACGCCATTGAAACGCCAATGAATTCACTTCGGCCTATCGGATGAAGATAAAAAGTGATTCGGTCGAAGCGCTTCTTTTGTTTTTGGGAATAATGGGTGCAAACCTTCATATCAGGCGTTCTTATTGACTTCGTTCCGTAGCTTATTAACTAAAGTATGGTATCAAACGCACAATTGACTTGTTAACTCTGAAATCAAGGATTTATTTGAAGTTTTCTGCTCGATAGGCCCAAAATGGGCGATTAGGCCGAAGTAGTTCTCTACCCTATTTGTTTTTATATGGTTTTCATGGTTTGTAGATAGAGGCCCCAATATATTTTTATAGTTTTCCTTGAAAATTTAGGCTCTTTTACACATAATATCACAAAAACAGCGATGTGTTCTTTTTTTCATTTTTGAGTTATTTTTATGAAGTTATCAAGTTTTGGGTTTTCGCTCAATACTTCTATGTGACTAGACTACCATAACGGCTGTAACCTGTAACATGTTCGCGATGTATATACTTGACTTGGGAAGTACAATCATGCTTTATGTCCAGGAAAGTCGAGAAATTTTCCAACCCGAAAAATTCCTAGAGCTGACCGGAAATCTAATTGAATCGGCATAGCAGTGGTTATCGAAAGAGAAAGTAAATCGATCAATGCAGATTAGGGTGCTTCATTTTGGAAAAAGAGACGAATTTCAGATATGCCACCCTCCAGTTCCATTCATAACCCCAAAATATGACCCTGTGCAAAAATTGGCAAAGATTGATGAAGGTTTAGAGGTCGCGCCAATGATTTGAAATTTGTATGGGAATACAATGGAAGAATAAAAAAATATATATATATATTGCTCTAACTTTGCTGGTACTTGTTCACATGATGAGAAATTTAATATGTTGTTGCTATGGCAATGTAATGACCAAAAACCCTATTGTTGTTACGATCAGTTTTACAGGATATCAAGAAAGATAGAAATGCGAAAAAAATGTCAAAATAGGGTAGATTGACAGATGAAAATGTGCAACACAACAGCACTAATTGCATCACAACAATAACAGGCTTGTTAATCATTGTCATGACAATCACAAATTAAGGTTTGGACAACTACAACCAAAGTTAGCGCAATGTAAGTGAAATTCAATAACTTCCCATAGTAATTCACTGCCTGATAACTGCCTCTTTCTCTTGAGCCCACTCTAGAACCTACATTTGTATTTAGAATTTTAAGTGAACTGCTGGTCTGAGTTCCTCTGGTATATTCAATTAGAGGATGTTCCTTTCCTTACATTCAAACAGCACGTAATTTTGTGAATAACTTCAATGACAGTTGTCCAGCAGTGCTCCCATTTTATTTACAACAATCCAATGCCTACGAGATTGTGCCGAAGGTATGCCAAAGTTGTGCCCAGGCTTGGTTCTCTCCTCGGTGTGAGTAAAGAGGAAAGTGTACCTGCTTCGTGCACCGCATCCAACAAAATGGTGCGCGCACCGTAGGTCGGCTTACTCTACACCAGATTGTACGTGAGTGCGAGAGTGCAATACATCGCAAAAACTTCGGTAGATGAGAAATCCCGAAGTTTTACACTTGGCTACACTCCGTTTTTTCAACAGAGCAAGAGCACGCTCGCTGAAGCGATTGCGACGATTGCGTTGCGCATTTTCCTTACCTCATAACAGCTGGCGCATTCCCTGTGCTTTGTGCACTGTCCAGTAGCTTCATCTTTTTAGATTTAAATCTGTATTTTCATCGCAAAAAATATTTTTAATCTCTATTTGACTGACCAGTCTGTATAATTTCTGTGTGATGGTCTCAGTGCGGATTTACGTAAACCTCCATTGAGCAAATTCATAGTTTAGAAGGAGTTTGTTTAATGTTTAGAATCATGATAAATGACTAAAGTTTGCTTTCTAAAGAATTTGGCTATTTTAAAAATCTTGAAATCCTACAATCTTGATTTTTTAAAGTGTTTTGTATCCGTTCTACTGTCTGAAAATACAAAACATTAAGAACCAGTTGTGAGAGACAAATCTGTTTCTGACTGAAAATTTTGTTAATGACGTAACACACCTTAAACCTTATAGTTAAAGTAAATATTATCAATAATATTACCTGTTGGAAAATTGCCAACTTTTCGGGAAATTCCGCAATAATAATCCCGGGAATAAAACGACCGGTACTGGGGTTGATTTACTGTCCGGAAGATTATTATTATCCTAAAAAGAATATGCTTCATTTTAACAGTTATCTAGCAGTTAAACCAAGAACTAAATTATTTGCTTCTGTGTGTTATGCTGTTTTTTGTTTTAAACATATTTTCATGCATAAACTTACGTTTAGTCCCGTACTATGTGTTTCGTTTGCCTGATGGTATGTCTATACCTCTTCTTTGCCGTACTAATTCACCGTACTATAATAAATTTAGTTGTAAATAGTTGTATAAGTTCAGCGGTATTCAATTACCTTAAACAATGTAGTTTTAAGAATATTAGTTTTAGGTTGGAAATATACAATTCATTTATCATATGCTCTCCTGTCCAAAAACATATTAGATTAAGTAAATTTCACTTGATTTTATCATTAAGCCAATTACCTGATAATTTTAGAAATAAGCACTAAGGAATTTAGATATTTAGGATAATGTTTCAGTAGTTAATTTAGTAATTACTTTCTGCAATCTGTGTTCTTTCACTTGCCTTCTAATTTTTTGTCTAGATTATTTTTTTACTCATTCTCCTATCAATCCTGTTATCAGTCCAATTCCTCTCCCACTCTCCCATGTTTGTGCTGAATCATCTCTTCTGCCAAATCATTCCTCTATTCTACTCACCAATACCTGAGTACCAAACCTGTCATAGCTGCGAATATCTGTCACGCCTATTGCGCATCGCGACGTCATGCGCAATAGTCGAAACTGAGCTGCTGTCTGATCACAGTAGCGGCGCGCTGGCGTTGACACGCCAACACTCCCCCCAGGTACGTTGACCACCTGGTCAGCTTACTCCGCTTCGCGTCGCACGTCTAGAACAGCTAGTTTGGCAACCGGACGCTCGTAGATCCCGGTCGATGTCCTCACCGTTGCTGATCTGGGTTGGCCGTCTCGTCCAGGTTGAGTGCAGATTATTTTGCCTTTCGGCCAGCAGTTCCGTGGCATCTTCGGGTCCGCTATCACCACAACGTCGTTGACCTCAATCGGCTTCGTTTGTACGAACCACTTGGTACGCCGGGTTATCTCGGGCAAGTAGTCGCTTACCCAACGCTTCCAAAACCGGTTAGTTTGGGCTTGGGACAATCGCCAACTTTGTCGTGTAACTGCTCCGCTGTCATCAATGGTGCTGAGCGGCTTGACTCCATTGGAAGAGCCCAGAAGGAAGTGGTTGGGCGTCAAGGCTGGAGCTGAATCGTCATCGACAGGAACGTGCGTCAGTGGGCGGGAATTCACCGTGTTCTCGATTTCAGTCAGCAGGTTCCGTAAGACCTCGTCCGACAGCTTCCGTGCTGGTAGGATCGCCATTAGGTTCTTTTTGACGGAACCGATCAAGCGCTCCCAGCTACCGCCCATGTGTGGAGAAGAGGGAGGCAGGAACTCCCAGGTTGTTCCAGCATCCACGAACTCCCTCATCAGTTCATTTTGGTTGACTGATTCTTCAGCTTCCGTCATCTCCCGCTTTGCACCAATGAAATTGGTACCTCGATCGCTGTAGATCACCCGTGGTTTTCCTCGGCGGGAAATGAAGTTTCGCATCGCCATGATGCAAGAATCGGTGTTGAGGGAGTGAACGACCTCGATGTGAATTGCGCGAATTGTGAGGCAGGTAGCGAGCATTCCCCAGCGTTTCTCGACTCGTCGGCCTATGACGACCTCGTACGGACCGAAGTAATCAACGCCAACGTGGGTGAATGGGCGTTCGAAAGCTGCAAGTCGTGCAGCAGGCAGGTCAGCCATGATTGGTGGGCGCGGGATCACTCGGTCATTCTTACAGCGTTGGCAGTCACTTCGCACTTTTGTGTAGGTCATGCGTAGCTTCGGTATGCTGTATTTTTGTCGTATCTCATTTATCACGGTCTCGTGATTCTGATGGTGGTATTTTTGGTGGTAGTGTGCAACGATTAACTTGGTGGTGTGGTGGTCACGGGGGAGTATTTTGGGGTGTTTAGCATCTTCGGTTGCGTAGAAACAAGCGGCGATGCGGCCGCGCATCCTCAGGATTCCATTCTGATCCAGCCATGGCGTCTTCTGGTGTAGCGGACTTGATTTGGGGATCGGGGTTGATAGTTGATCCGAGCACTGTAGCGGCTTCTGAAGCACTGCTATTTCTTCCGGATAGGCTTCCTGTTGTGCTACGCGAATGAGATAGGATTCGGCAGTGAGTATTTCGTGGTTGGTGAGAGGTCCGCTTACGATCGGTTGCTGGAGGCGCTTCAGTTTGCAGTTGGCAGGAAAACGATGAGCTAGAGCAACCACTTTCACAATCCGATTCCAGTCTGAGAAATCGCTTGAACAGACTATCGGTTCCGGGGCAATGAAGTGAGTTAATACGCTACGGCGAAGTTCGAGAACGGCTTCATTCGAGCTAGTATATGAGTCTGGCCAACCAGTTTCCGGGTGCTGCAGGAACTCGGGCCCGGTGAACCATCTCGTCTCTGAAGCCAAACTAGGAAGTCCTTTCCATTTCGTCCCATCATCTGCTACGTTTAAATCTGTAGGAACGTATCTCCATTCGTTCATCTCCGTGGTGTCCAGGATTTCGCTAACTCGGAACGCGACAAACTGGGAGTATCTTCGGTGGTCAGATTTGATCCAGCAAAGTACGTCCTGGGAATCCGACCAGTAGTGGCGACGAGAGATTCGGAATGACAGTGCATCTGATACGGATTGTGCTAGCCTGGCCCCAACCAATGCTGCTTGAAGTTCTAGTCTAGGTGTTGAGAGAAACTTCAACGGAGCGACTCTGGTCTTAGCTGCTACTAATCTGCATTCTACGACATCATCTTGAGCGAAGCGCAGGTAACAGGCCGCAGCAATTCCGTTATCTCCAGCGTCAACAAACGTATGTAGCTGGATGTCTTTACAATTGGGAGAGGTTCGTGCACGGTAGCATCGAGGAATGCTGACTCGTTCAACCTGCGGGAGCACTTGCAGCCATGTTTGCCACTTGTCGAACAGCGCATCGTCGATTGCATCATCCCAGTCTATACCGGAACGCCAGACGTCTTGAAGTAGCACCTTAAGGTACATGAGGAAATGTGCGATCAGTCCGAGCGGATCAAACATAGACATAAGAACGCGTAACATTTCTCTCTTGGTTGGATGTCGTTGACCTTTCAATAGCGCTTCTCCATAGCGAGTCCATCCGACCTTGTAGGTAAAGGTATCTGAATCAGTACACCACCACATTCCGAGCACTTTCTCGGTGGCTAGCTCCAGCGACAGATCGAGGTTCTTCTCATCTGTATGTTCTTCTTGCAGATCCCGCACAACGCGTTTCGAGTTGCTTATCCAGTTGCGCATCTCGAATCCAGCTTTCGAGTGCACCTTTTTCACCTGTTGCGCAAGTTGAAATGCCTCATCTTCCGTCTCAACGCTTACCAGCATATCGTCGACGTAATGCCGCTTCTGGATGACTTCAACTGCTGCTGGGTATGCTGCTTTGAATCGTTCCGCGTTTATATTCTTGACGAACTGAGCGCTGCTAGGGGAACAACAGGCTCCGAAGGTCATCACCTGCAAGATGTAGACCACGATGTTACCTTCCTCGTCATACCAGAAGAATCGCTGGCAATGCTGGTCTTCCGAGCGCATGAGGACTTGTAAAAACATCTCACGCACATCTCCAGTGAGCGCAATTTTGCCTTCCCGGAACTGGATGAGGATAGCGAGCAGTGCGCAAAGCTGATCAGGACCCTTTAATAGAGCCGAATTTAACGATACTCCATACGCAGAGGCAGCAGCGTCCCATACAATTCGGATTTTTCCCGGTTTATTGATGTTGACAACCGGAAAAGTCGGCAAATACCAGACCCGATGGAATGGTTGCTTCAGCTCCTCATTGGTGAGTCTTCTAGCGTATCCTTTCATGACGAAATCGGCGATTTTCAAATTGATCGCTTCAGCGAGCTTTGGATCTTTGTCCATCCGTTTCTTGAGACACTGGAGCCGGCGCAGAGCCATAGGGCGACTATCCGGCAGTCGAATATTGTCATATCGCCATAGCAAGCCGGTTTCGTAGCGGTCACCCTTGATAACGGTGCGAGATTCAAGCAGGGTTTGGGCTCGTTCATCTTCTGCGGACATGAGTGCTATCTTCGGTTGCGCAATTCCCAAGCTGTCGATTGTGAAGTATTCTTTGATCGCCTTGTGTAGATCCTCATCCATTTGTGATTCGCATGGGCACATATGGAACACTGAGTGCACTAGGTTTGGAACATCGTCTTGGTTTCCTCCTCCACAAATCGTCCAACCTAGTCGGGTCTTCACAGCGATCGGCTGCTCACGTGTTCCCTCTCGGCTCTTTAGGACCAGGCTTAGGTGTTGATCCTTCATACCGATCAGAATTCTCGGGCGAACATTTTCATACGAGGTGATCGGCAAATCCTTGAGATGAGGATACAGTTTGCCGAGTTCCTCTACATTGAGCGTTTGTGATGGAAGCAGAAGCTCATCTACTGTGCGCACGCCGTTCAAGGTATACCTCTTGGTGGGGCAATGTGTTGCTGCCACGTCCAGACTTACGGCCTTTGAGTTGATTTCTCGTCGTTGCGCTCCACCCGTCCAGTGCAAACACAGTGGTTTTTTCTCCCCATCAAGCTGCAACTCCTTGGCTAAATCTTTATCTAGAAGTGTGAGCGCTGATCCGTCATCCAGAAAGGCGAACGTCTTGATCGAACCGTATTTTCCTTGAAGTACTACCGGCAGGTAGCGGAATAGAACCTGACTGGATGTAACCTGATGAGTATGGCATCCGTGTCCCGACGTACTTGTTCCTGGTTGAGCAGGATCACTGCGCTGTGTTGTAGGTTTGTTCGTGGTATTGGGTGCTGTATCCTTGAACGGTGACGTGTTCTTCTGATCGTTGTGTAGCAACTCGTGGTGTTTTAGCTCGCACCCGTTCTTCCCACACAGCTTGGCTTGACATCCTCCATTGTGTCGACGCAAACATCTCCGACAGAGGCCGAGGTCTCGCACTGTAGCCCAGCGTGAGTCACGAGAGAACTCTATGAAGTTCTTGCATTTGGCGATCCACTTGCAGGTTCCCTTGCATACTGGGCAGCTATCGTGAACTACTTTCAATCTGGATGACGATGTGGTGCGGGGATCCGATACAGGTTCTTCTGAGTGTGCGTTGACAAAGGAATTCCCTTTCTTATTTCCACGAACATCGCTTCGAACTGGTTTGGGGTCGAAGCTGGTGTTTGGAACAATCACTGCGCTGGCGGCTTCCGCTAGAGAATAGAGCCAGGTGCTGAACCACGGAAGATTGACCGTTGGAAGCGTTTGCCTATATTGAGCCCAATTCAACTTGATAGAAGGCGGCAGCTTGTTGACGAGTTGATGAAGAAATGTTACGTTGTAAAGATGCTCCTCCAGACCACACGCGTCTACTGTCGCACAGAAGTTTTCTACGTTGACTGCAAAGTCCACGAGCGTTTCCAATTTATCCTCTTTCAGCGCTGGGAGCGAGTTGATCTTGGTAATCATCGAGTTGACAATAACTTCAGGCTGCCCGAACAGCATCTTTAGCGTCGACATAACTCCGTTAACATTGGCAGGATGCATCAGCCGACATCTCACCGCTTCGTACGCTCGACCTTTCAAGCTTCGCTGCAACCTAGCTATATTTTCCTCGTCGGTAAACCCACACATCGCTGTCGTGCTGTCGAAGGTAGAGCGGAAAAGCGGCCATTCCTCAGGATTTCCAGAGAACACCGGCAGATCCTTCGATATAGCTTGTCGAGCTGCTAATTGCTTTCGAGTAAGCATACATGGATCCAATGCATCCTCGTCACGATCGTGAAGACGGCTCGATCGCCTTGGAGGAAAACTTTGATAGTTCTGTGGTGTATCCTGTACCAGAATTGGGGCTGGCACCCGTGAATCCGGATTAGGAACAAATCTTGAATACGAAGGAATCGGATCTGGTTGTGAATATCGTGGAACGGGTTCTGGCCGTAGATTTATTGGCGTCGGGGCTGGAACTGATCGTGATGGTTCTGGATGTCGACGATAACGAGTAGGTTCTGAATGCAAACGCTCTGGGTTCGGCGCCAAACCTGAAGACCTATGATCCGATATTCTTTGTGAAATAGCAGGAATCGGAACTGACGGTGGGCAATTCTGAACCGGAGCAGGCCTTGACGATCCCTCTGGTGAGATCCAACGTGGAGATCTAAGATTCGAAGCCGGCCTTGGACGATCTGGAACCAGAAATGATTTTGCTGGATTCTGAACCGGCCGTTGGTTTTTCGGAGTTGGGTCTGGATGCTTTACGGAAAGCGATTTCAAAGACTCCGTCCATGGGAATGGTTCCGGAGGACCAGGCTCTGAACTTCCAGAAAGCGTACCGTGACTGCTGCTTTGGTTGCTTCCGAGTTGGGAAACCGTAGGATATCTCAATTGCTTCCTGCTTGAATGGCTATCAGGATCAAACTGACTCTCCAAATCCGGATCCTGCTCTGGATCTAAAAGCTCTTCCTGTTGATTGCTGGAAGATGCCACCCAGTCCTTCATCCGATTTAAAGCTACGCTGCTGACTGAGCTAGTTTCACTTATAGCCTCCTCCATCAGCTGATATTTTTGCTCCAAATAGGCCCTCTCCTTTCTCGCTTCTTCCGCTGCAATCGCTCGTTGAAGTTCTGCTTCACGCAGCTCAATTATCCTCAAGTCCTCGAGCTTCTGGAGCTTTAGCTTCGCAAGGGCTTGCGAGGAGCGACTCGATGCTATAGAGGTTGTTTTCGACGGTTTGATCGATGGGTTTATCTTCTTACTCCTCGTATCCCACTGTAGAGTTGTGATGGACGGAACTGGATCGACAGCGACTTCTGCTTGACTCGAGTTGGTAGCATCGACGGGATCGGACGACTGCTTTTTATGACCACCACCTTCATGAGGACGAACTGCTTCAGAAGTTGAACTTGTTGCCTGGACACCTTTCGCTGTTTCGCATTTGGTACATCTCCAGGTATAATTCTCAACCTCCTGCGTGACTCCGACACATCCGAAGTGATGCCATTTCAGGCAATCGTCGCATCTCACCATCTCGTCCGTATCTTCTCCTCGGCACACCTGACATGTATGACCGGGATGGGACTCCTCCGGATCCTCCATGACCACCGTTTGCACACCACCATTTGCACTACTTTTTACCACATCACTTGACTTGCCCGACCGTTTTGATCGCAAAGACCGATTCGACATAACCGCGGTTTATTCGTAAATAAACGATAATAATAATATGTTGGAAAATTGCCAACTTTTCGGGAAATTCCGCAATAATAATCCCGGGAATAAAACGACCGGTACTGGGGTTGATTTACTGTCCGGAAGATTATTATTATCCTAAAAAGAATATGCTTCATTTTAACAGTTATCTAGCAGTTAAACCAAGAACTAAATTATTTGCTTCTGTGTGTTATGCTGTTTTTTGTTTTAAACATATTTTCATGCATAAACTTACGTTTAGTCCCGTACTATGTGTTTCGTTTGCCTGATGGTATGTCTATACCTCTTCTTTGCCGTACTAATTCACCGTACTATAATAAATTTAGTTGTAAATAGTTGTATAAGTTCAGCGGTATTCAATTACCTTAAACAATGTAGTTTTAAGAATATTAGTTTTAGGTTGGAAATATACAATTCATTTATCATATGCTCTCCTGTCCAAAAACATATTAGATTAAGTAAATTTCACTTGATTTTATCATTAAGCCAATTACCTGATAATTTTAGAAATAAGCACTAAGGAATTTAGATATTTAGGATAATGTTTCAGTAGTTAATTTAGTAATTACTTTCTGCAATCTGTGTTCTTTCACTTGCCTTCTAATTTTTTGTCTAGATTATTTGTTTACTCATTCTCCTATCAATCCTGTTATCAGTCCAATTCCTCTCCCACTCTCCCATGTTTGTGCTGAATCATCTCTTCTGCCAAATCATTCCTCTATTCTACTCACCAATACCTGAGTACCAAACCTGTCATCGCTGCGAATATCTGTCACGCCTATTGCGCATCGCGACGTCATGCGCAATAGTCGAAACTGAGCTGCTGTCTGATCACAGTAGCGGCGCGCTGGCGTTGACACGCCAACAATTACCATTTGCTCTAACAAATAGTATCTTTTCAAACATGGCCAATCCCACTTTAGTTCGATGTTTGGTCATTATTTGACCAAGGCTGTTAAAAGCGCGTTCGACAGACACTTGCGTGCGAGGCATCTGCAACACTGTCTCTGCAAGCATAGCCATTGCAGGATCGATCTTTCGGTTCTTGTTCCACCATGCAACCACATCTTCGTCCAGGGGCAATGATGGTTCTAACCACAGCTTACGGATACGCTTTTCGATGTGAACTGACTACGACAAATGATTTCGGAAATCCAAGACCCCAAATCGTACTGCCAGGATCGTACACTGTTCTCCTCCGTGTCTCTCTCTCTCTCTTCGTTTTACGTTCGTGCACGATAGGGAATGCTCCTGCTCTCCGTTCGAGCGTTCGTACACGGCGAGCAACGAAAGTTTTCTCCTCGTGCATCGTGTTTTCTTCTCTTCGTGTGGGTTAACACATATGCTTCCTAGTTACACGTGCGAGTAAAAGCCAAGCCTGGTGTGCCGATGGATGTTCCCAAGCTGTGCCGAAATTAATTTCGGCACAATGTGCGAACGACTTACCCCTTGCATATTCCTGTTATGTGGAAGTATAATACATTTGCGCTATAAGAAAATCCAATGAAAACTATATGATTGAAATTTGGACAGATCTGAATTGTAAATTCCCGTATTCTCGTCAATCTAAGCAGCGTCCGCACTTCTATAATCGATTTCTCAGCGTCACGCACACATATGATGTGCTTGTCCCTGAATTGTCCAAAACTGGTTGAAAAAGTTTTTACAACGCTCCAAACTTCTCAGGTGAGTGTGACTATTGTCGGCAGCCTCTTTTTTTTGGCAACCATTTCATTTGAACTGCGTGTTAACCAGCTGTTCCATTATCGGCAACTCGAAATCAGCCACATTTTGTAATACTTATGATTCATTTGAAGAAAAACCTGGCAAAAAAGGTTTGCTCAGTCGTAAAAATGTAATCAGATTGAAGCTGTAAGACTAAGGAATTGTTTAAATACATTCTGCGAAGTATTTTGATAAGAAAATACAGCGAAATTAACGTTCAAATTTTCGTTGCCGAAAACTGTCAATGGGTGCCAAAGCCATCATTTATCCTACTACATAAACATTTTCTAAACTTCTCCAACAAGAAAACCGATTTAACACACACGGTTTTCTTGTCGGAGAAGTTGAAGGATCAGCTAAGTCACAAAAGTCATTATAAATTAAGAGTGGCCGAACTGACGGCTTAATGCGGCACGTTCGGCACAGCTTTTGGCACAGATAAAAAACTTGGCACAGATTATGGTGTGCACAATTGAATACCCCTTGGATATTTTCGAACTACATGGCAAATCAACCAAAATCGGCACAGCGGGTTGCTTTGATAGAAAAACTATAGCTTGACAGTTTCAATAGCGGTCCACCTATGGAATCACATTCTTTAGGTGGCCTAAAGTTGTGTCCCAACCTTAAACTAGTTTGTTTTCATTATTAGAGAGACTTCTAATGAATTTAACCTTAAATTGAATTTTAATTTAAAAAACCAACAACTGTTGGTGAAAAACATGGTTTTTTCTCCTATAAATGACAAACGCATCGCGTTCGGTATCCACCAACGAAAGGATGATTAACTGACGTAGCTTTATTTCGATTTCTACCTGAAGGGTAGACATTCGATCCGATAACGTATGGAATTCAATGTTAGAACGAGGGGGAAAAAACAACCACAGGAAATGATACATTATCGTAGCTAATTAGTTCATCAGCGAACGGGGTGCTTCATTTCACACGTAAATTAATTACATGTTTAATCAGTTATCCCATCCGTTTGAATAGAATATCTTTGCGTGGGTGGGTGGTGACAAAAGCAGCCGATAGAATAGGTATGCGACAAATAAAAAGTGGTCAGCATTGATTAGATTTCGATTCAGTATGAATATGATAGCAACTGTGGTTCAGTTAGGGTGCTATCGCACTAAAGTTGTGCAGTACATGATGATACCAATGTCAATTGTAGCAACCCATTTTTCGGTGCACAGGGTCATAATATTTACATTGTTTGGCTAATCTCAGGTAATCATGACAGCCGTAATTCTTCATTAATTTGGTATTCAGTAATCTAATGTCAAATAATGTCAATATTATTGCACCGAAGAATAACAACCCTTGGGCTTATTAACTAAACTGCACCTAGTAAGTAAAAAGCATATTCAAAATAAGCTGCTTTCTAGCACCCTAAGGCAAGGCAAGGCTCGTAGAAACAGCTCACGTTTGGAAGAGTAGCAAACTATTCGCTTGGCTCGAAAACAGTCAGTCCGCTCGTCTTGTACTGTGCCACTTCTAACTGTGCCCTAGTCAAATGGTCTGTACTACACAAATATTAACATATCAAATCCCTAGGGGTAAAACAAGATTCACTGGACATCGTGAAACAGGTTGTTTATAGGAATTCCAAATTACCTGTTGTTTCCTGTGCACATTAGCTTTTGTCAGGACGAGTGCACAGTAAATAGGTATCGCACCAGGACTATTTGCACTCGCTCAAGCGTATGTGTCTAACCGCTTTGTTGAAAACATTGACATGCTTATTCATCTCTACTGTAGGTGCATCTGTAGAACGCCCTTTTTGTATGTTGGTAATGTAAAATTTATTTTTCTTTAAATTTGAAATTGGTTAAGTACTCATAGGGATGCAAATTAGATCTTCTTAGATTGTTTTTCCTGATCAGTATTCTGGCACTGTATATGGAACTATGCACTGTTAAATAGCGAAAGATGGTACAAGTTTACTCAACGAAGTCAAATGCAAGTGCACTAGCTACTGTTCAATGTGGATTCAATTGTTGGTGAAATAATTTTACGGGCGGGCGAAAAAATTTCACCACGGTTTCGCACGACAAAGTTTCTATGAATTTGAATCAATTGTCACTTGAACTTGGGGGTTCTCAGTGTGTCTCAAAAGTTGATTTCCTCGATAATTTGGTCCCGTTTCTCTGGTAAGGGAGTTTACCAAAAACAAAAAGTTTCCAACCATACTTTTCGTGAACTTGTCCTAGCGTCTCCCGGCCTGCTGCAGCAGTATTGACAATCTACTCGCCGTCGTCAGCTTTTCATGACCTGCTACAAGCGAAACACGAAAATCAGTTGCATAAAAATGGGGAGCTCGAGATAACCTAAATTTAACGGGTTGTAAACTTTATTTACCTTTTTTCCAGGTGAAGAGACACGTTTCTCTTTATACCGTACACTTCCGCCGGTGATTGACGGGAAAGTTTTTTTTTTTACACAACTGAATCGCTATATTTAATGTCAATATTTAATTCCATCAGATTGTGGGTTGGTGAAAAATGCAGCGTGTAAAATTCCCCGGCACTTTATCGATGTGATTTTTTTTATGTGCAGAGTGTAAACTGTAAACACCGTGATGCATATTTTTACAGAATTAACCACATCAGAGCAAACCAGGCGTGGGGAGAACTTAGGATTCAATTAGTTCACGCTGTGGTTGGTTAATGATAATCGCTAATTAGGTTGATGATGGCGCGATGATGCATCGAGTGCCATTTGATTGTGGTTGGATGCATAATTGAGCTTAGGATTTAGATTTAATAAATTATTTCGTTTGATTTAGTTAGTTTGCATAATGCAGTGATTAAGTTATTCAACATCAGGATTCAAATTGAATAGTTTAGCTCTTCTGAGCTTTTAGCATTGACATTAATTCCTCCCATTGAGAACTGTTGAATAAATGACACATACTCATGAATAAATTTTGCATATATGCATTATAACTTACAACCGTGGTCGATGGAGGGAGGTTAGTGTTTCTCCTAGAAAATCAAATTTGTCCGAAATGTTCTATCAGAAAATTACACAATTCCTCCATTACTCCACTCGTTTCGGAGCAAATTTGAACAAATTGTCCACTTGAAATGACCATGGAAAATATTTCCTCCTTCCTTCTTTTTCCTGCCCTGGTTTTACTCCGATTCGGTTGGAAAGTTTATTATTTGCCGTTTAAAGAGTCCATAAATCTTCCGGTCACCTCACACTTTTTCCATGCGATTCTTTCTCTTTGTGTTTGTGTGTGTGTG